ACTCTGGTTTGACAGGTGATAATATGTATATTCTTATACATCTATCAATTCATGTTTCAAAAACTCACAAAACTGACATTTTAAACCAGTGGCGCTGTGCAATAGCTCTGTTTTACTTTATATTTGATACCTCACATTTTTAACAACTGGCAACCTTAATTTGCTCTCATTTTTTCTCAGCAACCTTATATCATCATAGTAAGGAAAAAATTAGCTTTAATTTAATTAGCAACCTATTATCAATGTATTCTTCTAATTTTAAACGAATGTAAAAATGTGAATTTGATTAACTATGTTATAAGCAACATGATCCTGTAGTGAGATCTTATGACTATAAGCAGAAAAAATATTAGAACATTCAAACTGACTTTTGAAAGAAGATAGTGGGCTGGAAATAGATGTCAAAATTTTTTATAAGAAATGGCTGTTGATAACAGGGCTATTATCATCCATTCTTTTCAGTTTTGTTTCAGAAAAAATTCTAAGGAAATAACATATAAACAGAGCAGAGCTTGTACACCATAGAAACCACAATGCCTTTTGTTTGCTTAAACTACAGCAAATCCTAGCAAGAGGTATTGAAAAATTTACAGATAGAGAGTTAACAAAGTCATATAACAATGCATATAAAAGCAAAAAACGGAAAAATATACAAAGTCAGAAAAACTAAGCGATTTGAATAACTTATAGCAATAATACCACAAAAAATTCTTTGTGCTTTGAATAGGATGATAAAAAGCAAAAATGTGTAAATTGAGTTAAAAGTAAAGCTACAAAAGGCAGAAGGTAAAGCTACAAAAGAATGTAGCTCCCATAGTCCAAGCTGGATTTTTTGTCATAGACTGGAAGTGAAAGTGGAATATGAGGATGTGCTGGAGGTATCAGAAGGTACAGGGGACATGTTAGTATGTTATACTGATGGCTCAAGAACTGAGAAAATCAGGACAGCAATAGTCTTCAAGAATTTTCCTTTGTCTTATAGGACTAACCTTGGTTAACAGGTTAATATTCGTCAGGTGGAAACATTGGCCTTGAAGGAAAGTGCAGAGACAATGATCAAAGCTGGAATTCAGTATCATGATTTAATTATGTATTAGGATAGCCAATCAGCTCTGAAAGGATTCGTATAAATCCTATCAAAGAGGGGAGCAAAACATTTGTTTTAAAGTTCTGAATGAGTTGCAGGCTAAATATAACACAGTAGCTGTTAGACTCCAATATTGAGAGCAATAAGGCAGCTGATGCAGTAGCTAAAGAAGGTACATGACACTTGTGTTTTTGAGACCTGAACCCTTTTACCCAGTCTTGTATCAGAAATGTAAAACTGATATAAGAAATGTTCCATAGATCAACACCTTCATACTATTCTGTTGATTCAGTCCTGTTAGTAAACCAACTAATTGATATGATGAAAGTAGAGATGAAACTCACACATCACAATAATCTCATGAGACACCAAAACATCTGTGAGCTCAGCTGATCAACAATGTGTCCAGGTGTGATGAGAGGGAAGACACATCTGAACAATTTGTGGGTGACTGTCCAACCTTTGTTAATACAAGGCCACAATGGTTATACTCTTACCAAACAACCCTCAAAGATGTAGTGAAGGAGAGCAAACTTAAGAGGCTTGACAGATTCATAAAGAATTGGGAGTCTAAAATGGAGGCCCAGTAGCCACATTGAATAAGGATGAAGTGTACACCTCAATAAAACGAAACTGACAGAGAAAGGACAATGCCTGTGTCCAGCTGCTAAAGTGCAGCCCTTAGAAAAAAAAGTAAAGCTAAATAAATCAGTGACAATACCAATAGTTGGGGATATATCTCAAAATTAAACATGAAGAACAAAATATACTAAAAATATGTGACACATATTAAGCAAGATACAAAATGGACTGTCTATTGAAAAAACAAATAAGGACATACAAAAATTATATCAAGAATTTACCATACCAAAGTTATAAAATCCCAAAGATACATCATCATCATCAGTGGTGCTACAGCTCTAGTTGAGCCTTGACCTTCCCAGTCTATTTCGCCAGTCGTTTCTGTTCATCGCCAACCGTTGCCAATTAGCCGCGCCGATTTTTCCTTGCGTCCTCGTCCACACCGTCCCTCCATCTCAGTCGTGGTCTGCCTCTACTCCTATTTCCCACTGGGACCGATAATAGAGTTCGTCTGGGTGGGTAATTCTCATTTGCTCTTGACACATGTCCAGCCCATCTAAGCCTGCCTATTTTTTATGAAGGATATTACATCTCTACCATTTACTATTTTTTTATACTTCTCGTACAATTCGCAAATTATATCGCCTTCATCCAAATACCATTCTCACAGAATGCGCCCATTATTCTTCTTAGTATCTTTCTTTCGAAGACGAGCAGAAGATTTGCGTCTGTTTTGGAGATGGTCCATGTTTCTGACCCATATGTCAGCACTGGTAGGATGAGTGTTCGATATATTATTAGTTTGGTTTTCTGGCTTAAGTTTCTGTTTTTTAGCTGCTTGCTTAGTCCAAAATAACATTTGTTTTGCTAGCAGTACCCTCCGTTTAACTTCTTCAGATGTGTCATTATCGTTTGTTATGAGAGAACCCAAATATGTAAACTTATTTACTACCTCAAAATTATATTGGTCTATACTGAAGTTTTGAATTGAGAATTGAGGCAGAAGGATAAAGACTATATTTCACAAAATGGAAAAATATGGCAACAAAGATGAATGAATAAAAATATAGGCAATGGAAAAACTGGAATACATACTAAGGTCCTCTTGGACTTATGTTTGGCATCCAGAGATGAAATACTGCAATCTAGACAATATATAGCAAAAATAACAATCAAATTAAGTGAAAAGTAACAGAAGACTTTATCATGAAACCCCAATAAACTCATCTTAAATATAAAAACATCAAGTCATTAGCCTACATCGTTTGTAGAGTTAATTTACATAAAAACATTAAAATAAAATATAACTAAAAAAATAAAATAAAACAGCAGCGGCCTTTAGATAAATTATGTCAATGTCAGGATATAGGTGTATTATTGCATAAAAATGATATTGTATAGTATTTTCAATGGAATGTTTTTATACCGATTCAATATCACTAATCAAAAAAAGTGTGGCTTCAAAGAACTTTTGGTTTATTGTTTTTAGAACTTACGAAACAAATTTAGATAGCAAAATACCTACATCAAATAAAAAATGTAACTGTAACAACCCAAGAGCATTGGTTTATGGAATAACAATGGCTTATATGAAAAATATTGGTGCCTAAGAGAAACTTTGCTTTGTGAATAAATGAATTGCATGAACAGCTTCTACTATGTGAAACTATGTTTTGAATATGCACTTTCTTTTTCTTGTTCTTTTAAGAATTTTTTCCTACATTTTCACAAAATATAACTGCCCTTAAAATGTTGGAAATACATATAAGCACTTTAAAAACTGCAAGCAATCTGCAGAGTTTTTGGCATTGCCTGCAAGTATTTGGATGTGACTGCAATGACAATATTGGTTTAAAGATTTTTGTAAAAAAAATATTACTAAAAAAAAATGTCAATGAGTCCTGTTAAGTTTAATCTGAAGAGAGTATGAAGCCTGCTATACTTTTTTAAGACAAGCTACACCATAGTATATGCAATTACGTCAGAAAATTAGCGATTATATTGTGAAAATTGAATAATTCCTAATAATATTCGAAAAGTAGAACTCTATATTATAAAAGTACCTGTAATAAGTATGTATTTTTTTATTGTCTGGGATTATCATATTTGACTGACGTTTTTAACCAATTTCATATTACATGGGAAACATTGAAACAATATGTGTAGTCTGTGAACAAGACTGTCATAAAAACAGTGATCTAAGATTTGAAAATAAACAGATTTACTAGAAACCACTACTATATGAAGCACAAGTCAACAAGTTTTTTTCCAGGATAATATATTGAAAGTTATACAGATTTGAAGTAGTAAAAAAGAAAGTTAGTATTTAAATTTTGATAAAAAAAAACAAATTCAACTTCACATTCAATTCAGCAAAAAGAAAAAATTGTTTGGAAGAACATCCTATTCATGAATCCTTGATAACTTTTAGAACAAAGCAATGACTTTCATTAAAATGAGCTTCCCTAATCAATATGGAAATAGCATGGCCTACATTTTTTAAGTATCCTTGAAATAGATTAACAGTTTTAGACTTCTTAAATGCTTCAAAATTTATGCTTAGTTTCAGTTTTGGACAACTTCTACCATTATAAGGACCAGTGTCTTTACTACAAAGCGAAAAACCCTTTGTAACCTTACTACTTTAAGGGAGCCTTCAAAAATTTCGGCTATTTTAAAGTAAAAAAATTATATAAATATATTTTGATTCTTATTTAAAAATGTAACACAATATCATGATTATAGTTTACAATTAAAGAGATATTGTTAGTAAACATTAAGAAACATTATTTGTTCTGCTTCTTCCTAAAAAACTGTCTTTGTAAAATGGAAATTTTGGTGAAGATTTCAATAATTTAACATAACATATAAATACATCTGACTTTTCAAGTTTTATTAACAACTAAAATAATATGTAATTAATTCATGAAATTCAACATTTAAATGGAAAATATTCAGAAATACTATATTTTTTGGGATATAGATATACATTTTAAGTAAAAAATTTGGTTAAATCATAAGGTATCAATACAGGCAGTAGAAAATATTAAAACAGCTGAGACCATCACTGTTCTAAAACGTAAAATCTTTTCTCAGTTGTCCTAATACAAATTAATGGACTACTGTTTCAATTATAATTCGCATCAAAATAAAAACAAAATCTACAGAATGTGAAAATGAACTTTCAAAAAATCAATACGAACTAATTTATGGAAACACTGGAATTAACCTATTAAGAAAACCAATTTTAAGAGACAAATCTTATCCAATTTCATCTTATTAGCATGTGAAAATCTAATCAAGTATGTCAGAAGAAAATTAATTTACTCACCATCAGCATCTACTTCATTGATCATATCCTGTAATTCAGCCTCTGTTGGATTTTGTCCTAGAGATCTCATTACTGTTCCTAATTCTTTAGTCGTAATTGTACCATCACCATCTTTATCGAATAGTGAGAAAGCTTCTTTGAATTCGGCAATTTGTTCTTCGGTGAGTTGGTCAGCCTAAAAAATCCCAATTTTATTAACAATTATGGAAATGCAGTTATTCAAATTGTTTGCAAATTTATTATAGTGCATAGCCTATATATTTATAACCTCAGAAATACTTTATAAATCTATGGTTGTCTTATTCTTCCTCTGCCAAAGCTGCACAGAGTGTTTGGTTAGAAAGATGCCAGGATACTTTTTTGCTGTTTTGGATAGGAAGTGTTAGATAAATATTTGATTTGATAACAGCTTGTACTGTTCAATTGTTGCTTTGCACTCGCTTGTTTTTATAAAAGTGTACACACTTTTCCAAAAATCTGCAAAACTAGATCTTCATGTTTTTGTATGATACATTTCAATAGTTTATTTAATCTAATCCCACAGCATACTTAAAAAATTGGCTATACTAGTTTTAGTAATGTGTGGTTAGTTACACCTGTGGGTAATTTGTGCGTCTTAGGGTGTATACTACATGCGTACTTTTGGCATTATTGACTTTAATTCTGCTATCTTTTAGCCACTTCTGCGTAGGGTTTAACTATTCTTGTACTCTAGTAGTGGCCCAAAAAATGTCAACGACTTTATTTTTACTCATACTAGTAAACACCCAATATGCAACAGATCGATATAATACGTTAGTACACATCTACACAACGAAAATAAGCTCCAAACACTATAAATTCGCTCAAATTAATTATTTTAAGCTAATTTCAGCGATTACAATGAAAGTTCCGCATTGCGGCACTTATATTCACCGGTCCGTCATCAAAACCAATCATCTTTATTTACTAAAAATTTACATCTTTCAACTATTTCCATAAATATTCAAACTAACACATTCAGTAAACGTTTCTCTTTAAAACACAGCATTGGATGGCAAATAATATTCACTTACCATTGTAATATTTCAAGATTAATCGGTACACTAAACAGAAAAATGTCGACACAACGAAGTAACTAACAACGCCTCTCGTCAAAGTGCACCAGCCAACTGTCTTTTCTCGTTTTGTTTAGGATCGACGTAAGAGAAGAGAGGGGGGAACTGCTGCTGCGAAACCACCAAAGCGCAATAGTGCGGCTATGACAGAAACCGGTAGAAATATTCCTACGCCAATACACAAAAGGTTTAAATTTTAAATTTTGTTATTTCAGTATTATAAACTATTGAAAATATTATTTTCGCTATACGTTTTTGAACTCTGTTAGATGCTCTAGTGTTTCATAAGGTAAATTGTATACTGTTAGCAGATCTAGTTGACGTTGCGTATGGTATGTCAAGTTTGAACATCGGGTGCGGCTTGTTTACAACGTCTACTCGTACAATGTGTGTTTGTGATTGGTAGACTTCTACCTGCAATGCGTCAAACAGTCAACGGATCTTGCTTTCGCGCGCTCTTCAAGCGTGGCGCGGTGCTTCTTTGCTGATGTGCGGATGCGGTAAACGCAATTCCAATGCGAACGCGCAACGCGTAAAAAATTAAACTGTCGAATATTGTAATGTTAAAGACAGCATTAATCCTCGACCTTCCTATACAAAAGTTGTATTCATATAGTAGGGAATATTCCTGTGTTAGCGTTTAAGGATTTGTTTTATTGATTTACTCTTAATTAGAGGAAACAACTGGGTCATGACCACTCCTCTATGCTGCGAAACACACCCCTTTCTATTTAATGAATGTATATCTACATTTAGTTTAGACTTTTTACTAATATCCATTCATACACATCCCAGGTGCGCCCCATTTCTCTAATTTGAACCATATTCGAATGTATTAATGCAGCTAGTTTTCAATACAAGTTTTAATATGAAAAAGAATTGAAATTGAAATAGTTTTATGCGAAATGAAGAACTTTTCGTCTAGTCATATAAATTCGGATGTGACTAGACTAGTAAAATATATTGGCTGTTTCTTTTTTTGTTTTTATGCGTACATTCCGAGATTCGCATCTTATTTTTTTTTTTGAGCGAATGTAGACGAGTTTAGAAAGTCTTATATTAGATACACCCATGTCAAATATACAAAGATAAGACTATTCCCATTGTCCTTTAAAAAATATGAAACGATAGATACGGGCTAGCCAGTATTTATGTTTTATTTTTTTTTTATTATAATAATAAAAGACATTGCTTGAATAAAATGTAGTAAGGCATATAACTAATTAATTTCAGTGTCTTTTCAACTTTTCACCTCAAGAGTCCACTGCTGAACATAGGCCTCTTCCTCATGTTTTCAACCCCATCTATCTTGCGCCGCTCTTATCCAGTTTTTATTAAGTCTTCTTAAATCGTCAGTCCATCTTGTAGGTGGTCGACCGACGCTTCTCTTGTCTTCCCTTGGCCTCCATTCCAATAACGCCTTTGTCCATCGCCCATCTGTCATTCTGACTATGTGTCCTGCTCATCTCCATTTTAGTCTGGCTATCTTCTTGATGACAAGAACAGACAAACGCAGTAGAGGAAGACCACCTACACGTTGGGCCGACGACATCAGGCGTATCACTAAAAATTGGCAACAAAGAGCACAAAATCGTGAGGAATGGAGGAGTTTAAGGGAGGCCTATGTCCAGCAGTGGACGTGATAAATAGAGGCTGGATGATGATGATGATGATGATGATGATGATGATGATGATGATGATGATGAATGATCTTCTTGATGATGTCAGTCACATCCGGTTCTTCTCCTGATGTCTTCGTTGGTTATTCTGTCTCGCAGAGTTATTCCTAACATGGACCGCTCCATTCTTCTCTGCGTGACTCTCAGTTTGGTACCAGCTGCTGTTGTTAAGGTAAGTGTTTATGCTCCGTACGTAAAGACTGGGAGGACGCACTGATCAAATACTTTTCTCTTTAGGCATGTGGGCATTTTACTTCTAAAAGTTTCTCTCAGTTTTCCAAATGCTGCCCACCCAAGGCCGATTCTTCTCTTTAGTTCATGAGTCTGGTTATCCCTGCCAATCATAATTTCATGTCCCAGGTATTTTATATCTATCTACGAGTTCTATTTCTTTCCCACTAATACTGATGTTCTGGTTGGGTACCAAATTGGTCATGATTTTTGTTTCGAGATATTTATATTTAAACCTACATTTTCTGTAGCCACAACGAGTTCCTGTACCATCTCTCTTGCCATACCTAGATCTTCAGCTATTATATCATCGGCGAAACGTAAGTTGTTTTGATATTCTCCATCTATTTTTATTCCCTTTGTCATCCAATTAAAATTCTTAAAAGCATGTTCTAGCACTGTATTAAAAAGTTTAGGTGACATTGGGTCTCCTTGTCTAACCCCCCGTTCTATTTTTAATGCGATTACTGTTATTATGTAATCTGACAGTGGTTGTTGCCTGCAGGTATATTTTGTATAATAATATAGTATATCTATAATCTAGCCTGCATTCTTTAAGCGCCTGTAATATTTTGCTTAGCTCAACTGTGTCAAAGGCTTTGTGAAAATCGATAAATACTAGAACTAGAGGTTTATTGTATTCCACTGCTTTCTCTATTAGGATTTTTATACTTTGTAGATGGTCATTTGTTCCGTAACTTTTTCGGAATCCTGCCTGTTCCCTTGGTTGATAAGTCTCTAATTTTCGTTCCATTCTCTTAACTAGTATTCGCGTAAACAACTCATATATGGCTGAGGAGGCTAATCGGTCTGTAATTCTCTAAATTTGCTTTGTCTTCTGCTTTGTGTAATAGAATCATAGTAGCGTTGTTCCAGTCTGTTGGAATATTGGCGCTGTGAAGGCAGATATTGAAAAGTTGTTTTAATCTTTTCAAGTAATACATCCCCTCCAATTTTTAGTGCTTCTGATACTATTCTATCTTCACCCGGGTTCGATTATTTTTCATCTTCTTCAGGGCTTCAGGGCAATTATATACAGTGTGTCAATTTTAAAACTTACAATGGGCTATATCTCACGAAAAAAGCTGATATCGAAAAATGCTTGAAATCGTTTCTAGGATAGTGTAAGGAGGAACTAAAATGTCATGAAAGAGAACTCACCCCCATCGACCCCCTAGGCCCCACCACAACCAAAAAAGTTTAAATTGCAAACCCCTAGTTGTGATACATCACTGAAAAGTCTATAAAAAATGCTATCCAATGGTTTAAATAATAATTATACATGATGAAGCAATAATTATATGAATTGTGTAATAAGTGAAGTGAAGTCAGGCAGAAAATGTGCAAGTGTTGGAGTAACACAGCCTATAAGAAATGAAGGAATACTTTCGGAATTGACTAAATATTGAAAGTGAGACGGAGGAAACAGATAGTACGTTTCATTCTGCAGATATTGAGAAATACCAGCACCAACACTTGAGGAAGTAAAGAATGCGATCGCGTCTCTAAAAGACCATAAAGCACCAGTAAATGATGACATAGATGAAGAAATGTTAAAAAAAGGAGGGAACCTTTTACACCAAAAATTGTATGACATCATTCTGAGAGTATAGCAACAACACAAGATGTCTAGAGAATGGAATGGAAGCGTTATAATTCCCATATAAGAGAAAAGAAACAAAGAACAATTCCGAAACGTATAGAGGCATATCGCTTATTAGAGCATCCATTATAAGTGCTATCAATTATCTTGCTAAAGAGACTCACACCATATTCGGAAGTATTCTAGGCGACTACCAATGCGACTTCCATGCTGGAAGGTCAACTATAGATCAGATATTTACAATCCGACAAATATTAGAAAAAACTTTAAATTCAACCGCGATGTGCACCAAATTTTCATAGATTTCCAGCAAGCAATGATTCCCTAATAAAGAGCAAATGTTAGAAAAATGGAAAGATACCAAGATAATTAGTTGAATTAATGCAAATGTGCGTTACTACACTCATATGCACAAGTAAAGATAGGAAGCAGAACATCGATCTATTTGGTACAAATTCAGGACTTAGGCAGGGGGACCCCTTGTCATTGTTGCTGTTCAATTTTGCTTTAGAATATGCAATAAGTACAATATCGTCTGAGCTGACAGAAGGATTTGCTCATCAGGGATCACAACTGTTGCTGGCCTTTGCTGGTGATATAAATGCAGTCTAGAAGAGACGTGAGAGGTATTTTCACAGCTCGAGGAGGAAACAGGTAGTCTGAGTCTCCGAATAAAAGAACAAAAGACTAAATACATGGTAGTAACCAAAAATCCAAGACCGAGAGTTAGGCAGAACATCAGTATTAATGATCACAACTTCGAAGTAGTAAAGGAGTTTAAATACCTAGGGCCATAATCACAGCTTAGGTACAACCACTAGAAAAGAGAGTGTCTCCGCAAGGATAGCTGCGGGAAATAGAGCATTATACTCCCTTTCAACATTATTAAGATCGAAGCTGCTAAAAAGAAAATCTAAATTAATACTGTACAAGTTGATTATTCGCCAATTATTACATATGAGTGAAACATGGACTCTCAACCAGCAGAAAATCAATAAGCTTCTAGTATTTGAAAGAAAGGTTCTCAGAATAATATTCTGTTCTAATAATAAAAGGTTCTCAGAGGATGAGAGAGTATTAAAGACAGTGTTTTTTGAAAGACCAGGTGGTAGAAGATCAGTAGGGCGACCGTGAAAAAGATGGAAGGATGATGTTGAAGCCGATTTATCTAGAATTGTGGTACAATAATGGGAAATAGAAGCGCAAGATCGTAGAGGATGGAGGGCCATAGTGGATGCGGCGAAGACTCACCGCGAGTTGTAAAGCCAGTGAAGAAGAAGCAATGATTGTGAAACTTTGGCTTAAATGTAAAATTTAATGAGGTTTTTGTTGATTCTGTTGATGACCCTGTATAACTATTGTTTAATAATTATACAGGGTGTTAATATAAGCCGATTTACTATGACTTTTGTCAGTCGTAATGCTATCTCCAGGACTATTATTTTTAATGATAGGTAAGTGACCGTCGAATTTTTTTTTGTTACATAAAAACTTAATTTGCCGTTTTTGCAAAACAAGTTGAAAACATCTGTTTTTTGGATTC